TTAATAAATAATATAATAAAATTAAGTCTTAATTATATATATAATATTAATGCAAGAATTAATTGTCAGCTGTAGATAGATGTAATTTTATTACAGCAAATGACGCGTTAAAAAAAATAGGAAAGTTCTATGTATCTGATACGTGGTCTGATAATTACGTCGTGAGTTTTACCAATTTATTCGCCCAATTAATGTTACATCATAGGTAAGTTCTCAGAAAGATTTATTAACATATTATTATAAATTAGAATTATTTTGCAGCGCTCTTTTATTTGATGTCGTGCCAGAATTGGATGAATATCGTCCAAACAATTTCACATTGAAAATAGGTCCTATGACGTATGAAAGTCCTTTCAAAGCGGAGCACGTGGAAGATCCCTGTTCCGAGGACAAGTTCGAGACGGAAGGGCAATACGTGAATCTCGAAATTTTGTATCATAATTATGAAAAATGCAAGGTACAAAACATTAAATTATTGCAAATTGTTTAACGAGAAAATTAAAGAATTTTATTAGTATTGAAGGAAGAAAAAGCAATTTTCCTTTTGTTTTTATAAAGCTCTTTTCCTTTCTTTATAAAATGTCCTTTCTTAATCTTTTTAATTCAATCAACTCTCTTTTTTTGGTAAGTTTTTTTTAGATTTATATAGAAAAACAAGTAGATAATTATAAAGTATAAATAAATTAAAAAGTTAATAAAATGGATTAATATAAGGAAAGCATATATATAGAAGAGTTAAATAAATAATTATTCTTTTTTCATAGAATGATACGAGCGAATTAATGAGATCCATTAGGACAACGCTAAAAGAGCTTAATGTTTTTAAGGGCTTAAATGACAGCGATTTAGAATGGAGTATACAATCTGAAAACATAGAAAAAACTGTTCATGTGATTGATTCTGTTGTAATGCAAGAATATTTTTCGGTAATTAAATATATATTACAGTTTTTTGTAACATTAACAATATTATTTTTTTATAAATAAATAGATAAAACTATTAACTCTACAGAACTTTCCGTCTAAGAGTGAAGTACGAGAGGCGTACTTGATGAACGATTACAGTAAAGTCAGTTTAGAGGATTTACAGAGCAGTAGCACATTTGTAAGTAAAAACACATAAGAATTTTAATTTCTCTGAAAAGTAAAAACAAAAAAATGTGAAATTAAGTATCTAACTCTAATCTCTTAAATTAAAGTGTTTATTACATTTTTAGCAATCTCTTATCCTTTACTTTAATCTTCTCTCGCAGGTAAATTGGGCGCAATTAATTCATTTGTTAACAGGAGTACACGTGGAAAGTAATGAGATTATTCAAGTGTATTTCCATGCCGCATTAACTAAAGGTTTACGCAAATTAGAAAAATATTCTAAAAAAAATTCTATGAGTCTTAACAATGCGATAATGGCATTATACGCGAACAAGCTTTATCACGAGGTAACTTACATGTTAAGATCATCTTTAAATATAATAAAATAAAAATATTCATATATAAATTTAAATAAAATGTAAAAAATATAAAGTAAAAGTATACAAATATAAATATTATATTACAAATAGCTTAACAAATGATGGAATTGTTTTCTAATAGTTTCATATTTTGTATTAATAAAAATTATCATTCTTTATTTTTATTGATATAATGAAATGAAATTGTTTGCAGTTGGTTTTGCCAAAGCATGATAATGTAAAGGATTATTGTCTGCATGTGGCTACCTATCTTTTACGGTTGGAAGCGTCCAATTTATATGTATCATCCTTTACTGATTACGAAATAACACAAATGAATGAAATAGTAAGTGAATTTAACTAAAATATAATAAATATAAATTTGTGTTCAATTTTTCGAATTTATAAATTACTTGTTTTTCATTTTTTGACTATTGTTTTACTCAATAGATAAAAAAGACATTCAACAACTTAAAGCAAACTTTATCAGACAAAATGCAAGAAGCACAATGGGCAAAAGAGGAAGGACGAAAAGAATTGCTAAACAAGATCAATAGTTTGAAACTCGCATTACCTGTTGTTTCCTATTTCAAGAATAGAAACTCGCTATATAATGAATATAACGTATCAGAGGTAAAAAAATATATATGTGTCATACATTAATTCTTCTTCACTATTATTTTATTAAAATAATTATTAATATTATTAAAAGCAGAATATATCTAGAAAATCTACAATAAAAACAAATATCATGAATGTATAAGGTATTTTTTAAATATTTTAACAGATTCACATAATTATTCTGAATGCTAAATTGGTTTTTTATGTTGGCATTTAATTAAAAATCATTCTGTATATCTTAATTAGTTTTAATTACGTTCTAATTGACAATCAACTTTCAGGTAATTATAAACGACAATTACTTTAACAATTCGATAATGCTATTAAAAAGATACAGAACTCTAATGTACACCGAATTAAGAAGAGAAGTTGGTGGTCCAAAGCAAATGTAAATAAAATACAAATAATTAATTCACGATTAATGAATTAATTCAATATAAATAAATTCATAAAATCCTAGATGTTTAACTGTGTAAATTTATATTTCTTTCAGATTTTTTTAGATTATTTTATTTATGTACAGACTCATATGTCTCTAGTTCAAAATTGTTATATTATTTAATTTTGAAAGCTTTTATTTTCAATTTCTTAAATTTTTCAATTTGGAAAATCTCTTGGATTCTAAATTTGTATAATTTGTAAATTACGTTACAGTTGGACATATTATGCTACGCCATTCCAATCGAAAGCCCAAGTGATTTATGCCCTAAATCTCATCGTGATTCCTTACGGTATTATCGATTGGTCTTTAATGAGTAACTTAATGAACGGCGATGAATTATCCTATTTTCTACTAGCAACCCTTGGGAATTTAATAGCTCATCAGATCGCCCATCATTTTGACACAAATGGTAAATGACTGTAATAATGTAATTATATAAATCTCATAAGTCATTAATAACTGTTAATATTCTTCATAAACTTTTTCATGGTATTCTTAGATCTCATGTATGGTTTATGTTATAATTTTTAAAAATAGAAGATTATTGCACGTAATATTGATTTTAATTGACTAAATTTATATAAATCATAAAGACTAATCTTTCTATTTTTAATTCTTTGATTACCTTTAATTTTTACAATCGTTTTCTTTGTAACAGGTATACACTATTGGAATCAAATCAGGAATGCTCAAGATTCCCTGATGTTTGAAAACGAATTTACAAATACTCACTTCGATGATTATATCAACTGTCAAAAGGAGAATCTGTATCAAGAGCCTATAAACATGACGTTACCCTTCACTGATCAAATCGTGTCCTTTAGAGTAAGTTGAGTTGTTCAATCCTTAATACACATGACTGAGTGCATTTCTTTTCTTTGAAATACTAGCACCAAATAATTAGTTATAATATCTACACATAATTTCTTTTAATACACACTTTATAAATATTTTCTAAAAATGTTAAAATGTGTATATAAGAATCACTTAAAAATTTTTGTTACTTAAAAGTGATGAAAATTAATTTGAGAAATGAACGGCCCTTCGTGTGTAGCAAAGGATCGAAAAATCATTGTGGAATGTCAAACTAAAGATGAATTTTATAATGCAATTTTCCTGACTGTACTCTCTAAAATCTTTAGAGTAGAATCTCACTCTAAACAGTGAGAATTGAGCCAGTCTTTCAAAGAGTGGCTCGATTTTCAAAGTGAGATTCACTGTAAAAGTTTAAGAAAAGAAAAAATAAGATACAATAAATAACAAAATTGGAGAAGGGATTGTTAGAAACACTTTGTGTAGTAAAATTTAATACAATAAGTGTACTTTTTTTGCGTAATGCTTGATTTATTGAATCATTCGCAGACGCAAAATGTACATTTGTAAATATTCTAGATTCCACGGTTGACCTTGAACGAGCGGTTGTCTGAAATTATAGGACTCAGACTAGCCTATGATACTTTGGCTCTTACAATGTCGAATACGAAGAGACTACCATGGATACAACTCCGCATCGACCAATTATTCTACCTCGCCTACGCTCAGGTACTGTTCTCACAGTTCGTTTTACATTAACAGCAGTTTTATTTTATGGAGGTCCCTCGAGATATTCTGGAGAATCCTGTGGTTCTCAGATCTTCAGAAATTTTGAATGTTTTCAATAATAAAATCCAAAGATTTGCGAAGATCACGGTTGATTCTGTTTCCTCGAAACTTTCACCGTCATCGAGTCGTCCCAGATAATTAACACTTATTAATACTTTTGTATCTCTATCGTTGCAGATGTATTGCACGAAGATGTCACTCACATCGTCGTATGTCTCCTTGCACGAGAGCGAGAACCTGCCTAGCCGGATCCGCGTGTTCGTCTCCGCATCAAACGACAAGTTCCTTGCCAAGGCGTGGAATTGCCCGCTCGGCTCGCAGATTGCACCCAACGACGTTTGCAACGTGTTCCCATACATAGAGATTAAAGAGACCTCGATGATTCCGGAATGAGAATCATTCTCGGAAAAGAATGGCACCCACGGACATTACGCTATAGCAAATGAGTCATACGATTAGTCGAGAAACGTGCTAATCGATGGACACAGAAACAAAACTCGGATTCATCCACTCTGCAAGATTCGCGTATAAACATTTTTAAGATTCGATTATTAAGTTATGAAATCGGAAGTTTCATGCGGTTGATGCGTAAACCTGTTTCTATAATTTTAAAATCTAAAAAAGATATTAGAAAATGTGCTTTGCTTCTGTATCCTTCAATACATAAAAGAGATTCTCATTTACGTACAATAAAAACGTATGTCTTAAGTTTAAAAGCAATGCTTCGATGAACACGTTGCCGCATCGTTTGTGAGGTAACGTTATAATTAACGTTGGAAAGAAAAAAGTAAGCGAACAACGTAATCGCTGAATGAATATGAATAAATGAATCAATAAACAGTTTTTACGCGATATTCACATTGAATTTGATCGAACGCTAAATTGGAACGTCCACCGATCAATAATAACAATAATATTCTTCATTCATTCTGAGGAACAAAAGTAACACTTTGGAGACCACTTGTCATCACGTCACAAAGAATCGGACGCATTAATCATTCATTCTACTCTTGCGCGCAATTGTATTCGACTAGAAAGTATAATGAGTGTCTTCAGTTCACCATCAAGCGGTTCTTTTCACTCTTCTTTTCATAGTTTCTTCTTATCCAATTCCTCCACGGATTTCGTACGACGAGCCATATTCCCTGAAATAAACACATTTGTAAATGACACATAAAAATTACCGCTCCGATGTTGACTGAGTTGTGGCATTTGATTAAGAATTCTTTTTAAAAATCTCAATTTGGGAAGTATAATAGATATAAAAAAAAAAGAATTATATAAAAATATTGAAAAAAGAAATATAATTAAAAACACAGAATTACTTAATGACTGATTTCTCTAATCTGAATAAAATTTTTTTTACGCTTTATTATATTTATATTTTAAAATTTAAAGAAAAGATCCAAGAATTTAATAAGTTTTAGAAATTTTAGTTACAAAAATTACAGTATTTTATGACTCAGAAAGTCTACATTTTTTAAAATGCAAAAATCTGAAACTCAAGAATCTAATATTCAAAGATGTGAAATTCTAAAAGTCAAATTTAAAATAAAAGCATCCAGTCCTCATAAAAAATAATTTTGTAATTTATCCAAATGATTAATCATATTTTCATTATTTTAAGTTGTCAATAAAAATAAAATATTCGAGTTATATAGGATATTACATGAACAAATCACGAACAAATTTCGGGCAGTAACAGTGATAAGAATGGCAGTAGCAATGAACGATTAATCAAGTGTCGCAAACTCAGATTGTTGCAAGTTATGAAGCGATTACATATTGTATGATGTAATCAATTAACACATACCGCTTACATCCGTATCAAACTTGCTTAGATGGGAGACTGACCGTCTTATAGTGGTTTTCTTTCCCGTCTGTAGTGATGCATTTAAAAGGAGCAACAAAAGTTAGTTATCAAAATTAATTAACTGTGGACGAACAATATTTATTTAAGTGACACAAATCGCTGTGTAAGTTTCTCCCAAAAAAAAAAAAGAAGGATCTCGTACTAATTATATAGAAAATTATTGCTATTATCCCGGTGAAGTGAGTTAGTTTTCACATATAATGTAACTTACAATGTGGTATAAAATAAAAGATGTCTAAACACAAGACTTAATAATAAATAATTTTTTAGCTATGATATTAAAGATGCTCCATAAGCAGTTGAGCAGAAGTTTTACACTGATGTACCGTAGTTCAAAACTGTTCATTATTAAGGCTTGTGTTTATGAGATCTTATGTTCATCACATTACAACAACATTTAAATATGAAAATTAAGTCATTTCATTACAACCCAATTTTCCATATAATTAATACAGAATTCTTTATATGTGATACTTTCGTTCCAAATTATTATGCAATCATTATTCTTTTTCTCTGAGAGTAAAAATACTGTAGTAATATTTTTCTTAAATCCTATTCCTAAAAGTTTACAGAGACATTAAAATCTGTTGGTATCTACCTCAAAGTACTGGTGCCACAAAACACAGCCATAGACACAGAGAACAGAGACTAGAGACTGACAAAGCAGCCAAAGGAGGATATTGAGAGCTTGAGTGCGTTCAAACAGGGCTGCACCATGGCGTATACACAGTAAAGCTTCTGTCACCATAATTGCCCCATAAACCCAACACTGAGTTCCCACTCGACTGCACGTCGGATCAGTTACGTACATATAATACTGCCTGCAATTACAATGCATTTATGACAACAAATATTTCAACCGCACGCTCAATATTCAAATTTTTTTAAATTTATTAGATCAATTTGTTAATATGTACGATAATATTAGATTAGAAAATTTAAAATATCAATTACACACCCACTTTTATATTAGTATAATTTAATTCACAAATTATATATAATACTTAATAAGATTACATCTTGAAATATTACAATTCTGAAATTTCAATATTCATGTATTGTATATGATACAAATTTTAAAATTTGAAAAACTAATCTTATTTATATTGTTAAAATTTGTGTTCTTTCCACTTACCTAACGGATGGTGCGACTATAACGCCGACCAATACTAATCTGGTGACAACAAATGGATGGGATGGAGGAAACTCATAGACGTGCTTCAAGAAGAACGTATTCAGCTCGGAAACTTGCCAGAATATCACTAGCTGGCATAAAGCAACCAGTCGCATATGTGTGCAAGTTGGATCCAGCCATCTAACAGATGTCCAACTGCCAGGAGTAAACTGCAACATTGCTCTCTTCAGCTTCCCAGTGGTGCTCTCAATGTCACGAATACTGACCCACCTGTATTTAAGAAAGTATTTAAGTTAAAAGATTCAGTACTATTCAATTCTTCATTGAAAAAAAAAGAAAAAACTTCTTTCTGTATGAAATAAAGATACAATTTTTCTATAAAAAAAGAATTCTGAATAGAAAGAATATACTTTGCGCAGTAAAATAAATTTTTTATTATAATAAATAATGAAAATTTGAAAGACGTAGAACTCAAGACTTGAATTAAATTCTTACTTGTATTCCCTCATCTCCAATATGGAGCAAATTTTCAGGCCAACCCAGATACCCAATCCATTGCACACTAAAACGTCGAGAATCAAGGCGTCCCACCAGCACTCGATAAAGTTTGGCAATAAATGAGCAAAGGCAATCTCTGTCACCTCCCACATGACGCTGATGGCCCAAAGGATACCAAGATGACGAATTAAGATGGCCTTGAAGGCCCAGCCAAGAAAATGTGCCAGCGCGAATACGTCCAAGTGATTCCAGATCCTTTCCACTGTGACATCCGAGCAGTTGACACCATACTCCTTGTCCATATCAATGTGGAAGGAAGCTAAACCAGGATCTACCCATACCAGGATTCTCCTGACTGTCTTATAGTTTTGGAACAACAAGAACAGCAGACCCATCAAATAGAGTACGCTGCAGCCGAATACTATCCGCCATACCACAGGATGAGGCCTAGTGAATGGACCATTGGGGAATGTCAGGACAGATATGATGAGGAAGAAGAAAATGACGCACAATATACCCGCCCACATGTTGTCCTCTACATTGGTGGTATTCCTGAAAGAAATATTTTTAGATGTAACAATATTCTATGTATTCCAAAGATACGACAAAATTTTGTATAATCTTTGAATTCCATTTACATAAATTTTCTTGCTGACTGAATTATAAACAGTGATTGAAATCGGAATAATCCAAAATTGATTTGTGTTTATCAGTCATAATAAACACGTAAAAACTGATACATATTTATCCATATCTGCTATATAAAATATTATAATTAATAATACAAGCTAAATTAAACTCAATTAAAAAAAAATTTCTAATAACAATCATAACTGCTGTCTAAATAAGAATATAAAAATATTAAGCAGAAACCAGTACAACCAGTTACATAATACATAATACAGTTAAGCTAAATAGAAGCATAATCATGAATGGCTTATAATAGATAAGCCAAGGACAAATTAAAATCATACTGTAATATATAGAATTACTTACACATCTTTATAGAAAAAATTCGAATAAAACCTTTTTATCCGGCATTTTATTGCACATAAATTAAAATTTTCATATATATGATAACATATGAGTTGCATTATTCAAACACAATATTCAGTCATTGTCAAGGTATTTCAGGCGATTATCTTATCAAAATTAGATATTGATTTTCACATACCAGGTATAAATCTAATTAACATTCAAATGAAATTTCTTCAACCACTTGCGTCATGTGGTTTTTTTAATCAAAATACATTTTTACATCGCTAAGGAAAACAAGAGGAAAGAGTCAAAAGAAATTAAGATGAGATATAATCCGCAAGAATTCTAAAGAATCAAAGGGCCATGAATCAAAGTGAGGCCATTGTCTACCTGGTGAATGCAGAATATATAACGGCGCCAATGGAGATAAGTAATAGGGTGATTGTGTGCGGTTTATAGAAGAACTCGAGGGAGATGTCGTCGACCGGCCTCTCGTTGATGCTCGGGAAGCTGTCGGTCCCGGTGCGGAGTCTGTACTCCTCGGCATGATCGGCGACGGTGTTGGCGACTGTATTAGCGACGGTGGTCGCCTTAAAATCGCCCTCCTGCATTGCTGTCGCCATCCTTCCACAATACTCTCTGCTTCAGTCTCGTTCGACCACCATCGGCAAACAGACACGTGTAATTCTCGCGCCGTATCCGTCTTTTGCATGAACGCGAACACGCCTGCGATCCACGATCGAGTTGGATTGATTCGCGTGAACTTGGGTGCGCATGCGGTGCATTAACACTCGCTCGGCGGCAATCGCGCGCAACTTCACGCCGGTGGGCGCGCGCGATTGGCGGCGAACGAGACAACATGACGCGGACGAACAATGGCGACATACGGAGACAAGAGTCGAAAGCGTGAGACTCGCGCATTACAGTGGGGG